GTTTGCCCCCATCCATCATGCCTGACAACAACCTCATCACTCACTTCTGTTGGGACAATTTTGACTTGAATGAGGAAACTTTTTCAGGAACTGGAACCACACATTCAACTCATGGAATAGTCATACGAGAAATCAAAGAGCAGCCATACATTCCCCAGCGAACACCAGAGGTTGACAGAACAAAGAAAAGATCAATCCATATATTCCAACAAAAAACCCCCAGCTTGACCCGTGTTTCATCAATTCTGAGGTGGAACCCACCTTGATAACAAACAGAGTATCAAAGATTTCAAAGAGTTCCATATGAATTATGAGGCAACTGACACAGTTCCTACTTTATGTATGGCAAAAAGATTGTTATGCAATGATGTTGCTGAACAGAGAAATATACTTTGCAAGTGACCAACAGTGCTGTGTCCCCAGTAGCAGTGATGGAAAGACTACAGACTCAAGACCTGTTCGAGAGTTATCCTCCAGCCGTGAGGAAGCAGACGCACTACTGATCATGCATGCCATCTTCTGTGATCAGAACATTGCTACTCCAAACACAGACATCCATTATTCGGTCCCCAGACACTGATGTCTTTCTACTGATGATTGCATTTGTTCTACATTTCACACACAGTTCCAATTTTGACACATGGGCTGGGAAAAAAGATGTCTACACATTCAGACTCTCTGTTACAAAATGGAAACACATAGGCCTACAGGATTCTATTCTTGGACTCCATGCATTCTTTGGATGTAAGGAGACTAGCGCTTTTGTCCAGAAAGGAAAGGTGAAGCCGCTCACCATTCTCGACAAGCACCCAGAGTTTGCTGTTTCATTCAAGGAGCTAGGAACATCTGAAACTGTTTCTTCAGAACTGTTTTCCAATCTGGAAAAGTTTGTTTGTCACCTGTACGGAAAACCAGCTTACTCTAGCCTAGCACAAACAAGTTTCGTCATGATGTCGTAAGGCTAAAGTACATGGCAAAAGGTCAAAGCTTATTGTCATGCTTTGATGGATTTGACACCATGCGAGAGAAGCCCTGAAGCTGCACATCCTACGCGTAAACTGTTAATAGTATTAAACTTTAATACGGAAGCAAGCACATCTGGCTCAACCATTAATACAAATGTACCTGATCCGCAAGATCATGGTTGGAAGAGAGATAATGGTGGAGTGCTCTCAGGGGAGTGGTGCAAAGACTTGGTCCCTCAACAATTGGTTGACATTTTGTCAGGATCAGATACAGAACAAGAGGAAAACAAGATGAAAACCAACTCCTCTATCGTGTGATGAACAAGATGAGATTTCAGATTCTGGAAGTGACAGCAGTGACGATGAACTCATGGCATAGAAAGCATCTAATTAAATAAGACTTACATGCAACCACAACTGACTTACGTAACAGTATAAAATCTGGATAACTAGCACCCAAGCAACTCACTTCTGTTACATATTATGCTCTATGCAAGTCAATTTCTAGATGCTATAATCTTTTTCTCAATTATATACATTTCTTTGTACGAGACAACTCGATATAATACATCATGTACACAAATAGCCAATAATATCCATCTGCATTGCTAAGGCAAGGCCTGTCTGTAGCTCTGCATTGTACTGATTTTCTGTTGAATTAAATGTTTGCATGTGTAGCTTTTCCTTTGTTGTGGTAATACCCAGCAGGGAGTATATTACGCTAACTTTGTGCGGCTGTTTTCAATTTTTAGAGAAAACGGGTTTAAAACATTATTTTTTTCTATATATTATAAGCTATATAAATAGCAACCTCAAAATGTTCAGTATAACTGTTGTTTTTTTTAACCTACAACACCAACTTTAGTCTCAATTAAAAGAAAATCAGAATACCAACTAAAAAAGTGAATTTAAAAAAAAAGTTAATTTGCTCAATTTTCGACAATTCAGGGGCAATAACTCCGTAGATTGCCAACATTTTGGTGCAAACTTTTTTGTGTGCATAGTCCTGAGTGTGCTCTTTCAGAAAATCAGAGTGAGCAAAAATCCCCCCTCCCCC